TAATCAATTTGTCTTGTGCAGAACAAATAAGTTGTAGTTCCAAGGATTTTTCTGTTAAATTGGCTTGAATAATTGATTACCACTAAATAGTAAAAGCTCATTCAGGCAGCATTGCTTACTGCCACATTAGTGGTTGCCGGCATCCCTTCCATATGCTTCACCAGGAGGATTTGCAGAGACTTCCTTCTGTGTTGTTTTTTCTTCTCCCAACCACGGGCCATATTTCAGTCTCTTTCCAGATCCCAAAAATCCCTCTGGTGCTGAAAGACTAGTGCCCTTTGCCATCTTAATCCCAGGGCCCCGTAAGCACAGTGAGTAGTTCACCCAACAGTTTACTCATTTAGAGCACAGAACTGTTCTGTGGAGTTCAGTGGGTGTGTTTTAAGGAATGTGCTTATGCAAGAACTCTTGTCCATTTGTCCCACAAAATTACTTGTCTTGTTGCATGTAACAATTCTCTGTGATCGGATAGAGCTGGGAAGATAGGTCTTTCACAGGCCTCTGGCTTGTATTCTCTTTTCTCGAATGGTTTCCATTCTCCTGTCACTTCTTTCGCTCATGGGTCATTCACACTCCTCTGGATGACTCTTAGACTGCCACGTGTCAATCAAAGCATAGTGGATGCAAGATGAGGAAAAATGGGGAAAACTTGGCTTGTTTAAAATCAGGTAGACTTTTCCTCTATACTGTTGTCTCATTGTTTTGTCTTGCATGCTAGTTTCTAGCTGTGCTTTGTATTTTGGTCATCTTTAAGGGCTAGAAAGGAACCCGAGTCGTCATAGAATAAAGACTCTAAAAGAATGCCATGCCAGAAGACCACAAGGGAACACAATTCAAGTTTAGTGTGAATGTACACAGTCAAATTCTGTTGCTTCAGAAGCTGAGTCTCCAGTGTTGCATCTGGAAGGGCTTTTAACAAGAAAATAATTGTGAGATAGTTTTGGTGCTTCAGGAGAGAGTAAAACAAGCAGTTTGATGAGCAATTCTTCAGAAGTTTGTGGTAAAGTAATAATAAAAATGTGGATTCTGACCTCAAAAAGGCTGACTAGCATAAATGACCATTTATAATCCTCTTTTAAAATCTCATAAATTTTATGTAAAAATATAATGACCCAAAAAGTATGTCCTTGAATTTGAAGGAGTCTGTTTATACAATTCACATAACTTGCCAAAAAAAAAAAAAAAAAAAAAAAAAAAAAAAAAAAAAAAAAAAAAAAAAAAAAAAAAAAGGAAAAAAAAGAAATGCAGAGTTGGGTAACTTCTTTCTGAAAATAGAATGGCCCATTTTTCCTGGCACAGGTCCTTGGGGATTATTAGCAGTCAGTCCTGGGGGCCTCATGTCTTGGACCAGCGAGTGCAGGTAGTGCCATGTGTCACGCCCCGGCTTTCAACAAGTCTCGGCAAAGCTCTGAGACACGGCACACACATCGCTTCACAGCACCGTCAGCACCGAGCTCTGCGAGCACTGCACCGTGCCTGGGAGAGAGGAGCTGCAGACACCTCTGCTTCAGCGCGAGTCAGGGGCACAGTGTGTATCTGCCCCGTCCTGAGCAGAAAGGTGAAGGAAACCATCAGCAAAGCCCATGATGAGCGTGGACAGCATGCTTGTGTGGCTTCTTACTAAGGAGCTGTCAAGGGCGACATTTTAGCCCTGGGTTGCGTTAGACGTTTTGTATATGGCATTTTGGTGAAATAGCCAGTCTACTCTGAGTTTCATTTGTTTGGCTGATTTTATCATGTATTTCCTGAGTCCCCTGTAGATAGACCCTTAGATTGCACATTTGAATGCACATGTGCACATACAAACAACACACTCACCCTTAATTTGTATTGCTGTTTTCTTAAAATATGTTCTTATTGTAAAGATATTGTGTAAAATCATAGAAGCATTCTGTCGATTGTCGTGAGAATTCAATTAGATGATGTTCCAAAGCCTTAAATAATGCCGTACTGTAAGAGCTCAAAGGTGTTTGGTCATATGCTTCTTGTTTTCATTGCTTCTGTCTTTCTTGCTAGACTCTGAGCCCCTAGATAAGATATTTGGTTAGAAAACCATAGTGGACATAACTCAAAATGGCTTGAACAATAAGGAAATCTATTATTTTTATTAAGTAGTAAAGAAATATCATTGCCAGAAACTCAGAGAAGTGAGTCCAGAGCCAGTTCATTCTGGAGTTCCTGTCTTTCTGTGTATTCCACCCTCAGTGAGTTGGTTTTTCTCAAGGTCATCCTATCACGTGATTCAAAGATCCTAGTGGTCTTTCTTGAGTAATGATGGCATCTCATTCTAAGCCCCTGGGAGATCTATCCTCACATGATTTAACATCATTAAAGAAATGGAACAGAGCTAGCATGGTTGGCTTAGACTATTGCTTTTCGTTCCTTTGGACCCACTGGAGGAAATAGATTTTGTATTGTGGTCACATTACCATCACACATATATTTTTGCACTCTAAACAGTGAAATCTAATTCTTTAGAAAATGTCCTGAGAACAGAATAATGACCTCTGCTGCCTGCGATGGTTTGTATATGAAATGCACAGCAAAAGGCACATGTGGTAGACTTGGTCCTCTGTCAGGGAGGTGCTGACACTAGGACATAGGACAGCTACAAGTAGGTTGTGGAGTAGGAGCACAAGGGTGCTGTTGGGTGTTGTCCCTTGTCCTGGATCCTTTCCATCTCTCTTTGTTTCCTGGTTGCTACGATATGAAGCTGCTTTGCTCTGTCATATCCTCCCCACCACATTGGAAACCATGAACGGAAACAGTTTGTCAGGTATTTAACAGCATGGTGATGTAAAAGCAACTAACACGCTATTATTTTAAGATTAAGCACCATATTGCATATTTAGTGGCCAAACACACAAATATTAGCAAAGATTTAATGTAGCTAGGCTGCTGGTGAGGATTTTCCTGTCCTGAATATGTGAGGGCAATGCTGTGAAGCTGCATGATATACTCAAGCTCAGTCCATTCACTTCTCAGATTCACACTCACTGTACTTGATATAGTAATATTAATCATAATTGATCTGCAGAAGAGTCACTAATGTATCTGGTACTCAGTAGAAACTTACAGAAATGCATGAATAGTAGGATTTGGAGAGCATTAGAAACCATCTTGAAGCTGCCTAGTGAAGGATGTGAAGATGAGTCAACTAAATTTAGTTTGTGATCCCAAGTTGAGGTCTGGATTGGTAAAACAGTTCTCTGCAGAGTGATTAAGATACTTCAGAAAACTTGAATGCAGGCTATGCATTAGCCTGCTTTTAATAGTTGTGCTATGAATATGTGTGACACTGTTCTTCCTATTTGGAGAACACACTGGAGTGTCTATGGAGGACTATAAAGAGCTCTTTTTACTTGGGTGAACATTTCTGGAGAGGTAACATTTACTCACCCCAGATAGGGCACCAACGACAGATCAAGTTGTGTGTGGTGAACCAGTGAGCTTATTTAATCAGACTGACTTAGCGTTTGCCTGATGCCCAGACAGTGCATCCTTGCAAGCTCTCACTAAACATGATGACAGCTCCCTCATAGCTGCAGCTGCCTAGATGGGAGCCCCACTAAACTCCCACATTCCCTCCAAAGACCACAGGGAGCCCAGAGAATTATTACATCAGCTGAGAGGGAAGTGCCAGAAGCGGCTGCAGCCTCAGGTGCCCTGATTAAGACGGCAATGGCATTCTGCTCTGAAGCTGGCTTTCTACAGTAATACTTTCTTTTCTGAATTCGAAATTGAAAGTTTAAAAATGTCATGGATTGTTTGCAATTTAAAATATGTGTATCTGGTTCTTGAATTCATTTTTACTGAGTGCATCTCAGTGTGCGTGTATGCATGCCATGGTGTGTAGTGGTTTTATTTTCTTTGAAAAGTTAAAAATACCTTATTTTTTATTCCTAGTTACTACTATAATTACAGGGCAATATACTTTATGTATTGAAAAGAAAAGGAAAGGGCTAGAACAGATAAAGGCCACAGAAATGTACATCTAGTGGACACTATATTGCTTTAACAGATAGCTGCATCTTTTGCAAACTGACTCTCACTCCTTTGAACAAGAAAGGTTCCTAGTTAAGCTGCTGTCATTTTTCTCATTGGATTTGGTTTGTTAGCATTGTGTGCACCTGTTTTCCTAAGGGGTGGCATTTTCCTGTGGTGTCTTTGCCTGACTTTGGTGTCAGTGATGGCCTTGGAGGATGAGGCAGGAGCTGTCACTCCTGTAGCTGAGGATCTGGGAAGTGTTGGCAGCAATTGCTCTAGGGATGTTTAGTCACACTCACCAATGGACCCTGGACCCAAGGTCTTCTACTGGAGGAATTCAAGCTTGAATCCCTTGGGAGGTCTGCTCAGCTCTTCTGTTTCTTCTTGGGTCAGTTCCTAGGGATTTTGCTAATTTTTTTTTATTACTTTGTGGTTTAATTTATATTGACTAACAGTACACTTTTTACATTGTGTAAATGTCTGATTATGTTTTATGTAAAGTTATATTTAAACCACACAAAATAAAACCCTCCATAAAAACTGCCTTGCTTTATATATTTGATCTAAAATGCACTTTTGGTGATAATGCTTTATGCAGTATGGGTCTGCACCCACCCTTTACCAATATTTGGTATTTGCCACCAGTTGTATTTCAATCTTTCTGTTTGGAATACTCAAAAGTGCTTTTGTTTGTGTTTTTAATTTTTAAGTTTTAAAGCTGGCATCTACCAGAACATCATTACCAAAGATACACCTTTAGTCTATCAGGGTTTTTTTTCTGTTTCCCTTTGTATGTGGTATATGAACGCGTATGTATGGTTTAGAATGTATGGAAACAGACATTAAGACAGCTTAATTTCAGCTCAGTTACATCTATTAACAGTGTGCTTATGAGGAATAAAAGGATTTTCATGGTGTGCGTTAGTCAACCACCAATAAATATGGGCAGACATGAAACAGTCTACAGGTGGCATCGCCTTCATTTGATCGCTGCTTCATCTTTATCTTTTCAGCACGACGTATCCCAGACTTTACTCAAGGCAACCCTGGACAGCATTGTGGAAGAGTGTGTCAGCTTTGTGGGGGTGGATATCAACATCTGTTCCGAGGTTCTGTTGCGGTGAGACGAGAGTTTAATTTGCTAACTGAGAGAAGGGGGCTTGTGTATAAAGTTGTCCAGCATAGAAAATCTGTAGGTTTATATGTTCCTGTAGAATAACCAGAGGGAAAGGAGTCATTTAAGGAAAGAATTGCAGGAGTGCACATAATTATTTTTAGTAGTGCACATCTGAAATAGTTCGTGGTAACCATTGATTGCATCAGTGCTGCTGATTGAACTTAAATGAGGTTAGCATGGAATGTGCCATTGCCCCAACTGCAGAGTAGATGCCTTCACTGGCCTAGTCTCTTGCAGGTACCTGTCAAAGCTGAAGGTAACCAAAAGGTGAGCGCTTCTGCAGGTTCAAGGAGTGTCACAGTCACCTGTCAACACTGACTGGCTGTTTTCCTGGCAGTTACAGAGGAGTTCCTCTTTCTTTCCTTTGTTTTGGTTCACATTCTTGCTCTGGATGTACGGGTCTGCTGGTGCTCTTTGAAGTTCCTGGATCTGAGCCCTTCTCACCAAAACTGTGATAGTGGAAAATACCTTCTGTGTTCTAAGATACCACTTCCTCCTACCAAAGCTATAGTTGTAATTCCATGCTTGGAACCGTGCAGTGGAATTAGGGTTCTCTGTAATAACAATCTTTTAATTAAAATCAAGCAAAGACCTTAGTGATAGAGTTTTCATGCCATTCACAGGGAAGTTCCTCTCCAAGTTCAGTTTTGTATAGCAATGGACCGGAAGATTCTCATAGGGACGGCTACGTGAAGCCCTTCTCTAAGCTGAGCAGAGATGGACACACTTTTCCTGAGTTGGGAGATACAGAGGTTGTGAGTCATATGGAGTAGCAGATCCTCTGTGGCTGCCTCAGTTCCACCATATCACAGGGAACAACTGGCTTGTTGCTGCTTTGCATTTCCTCTTCTGTCCTGCTTTTGATTAGTGCAGACGCCTGGCGGTGTGTCATTGCAGTTGATGTTATGGTCCAGGTGATTTGTGACGTCATATTTTTAGATGAGATCTTTCTCTTCTTTTATAACTATTATTTTATTTTACCTTTTTATTTTTTAGGCATATTGCAGGACTTAATGCCAACAGAGCCAAAAATATTATTGAGTGGCGAGAGAAGAATGGCCCTTTCATCAACCGAGAACAGTTGAAGAACGTAAAAGGGCTTGGTCCAAAATCCTTCCAGCAGTGTGCTGGCTTCATCAGAATCAACCAGGACTACATCCGGACATTCTGCAGGTGATTGTGAAGCTGGCACCCGTGGTGGTACTGCTAGCCTCCTCTGTTGTTCTTGTCCCGCCTGCTGACGTTACGCTCTAGATGCCTGTTGTCTATCCTCTCACCCCCACTGGTGGGGGGGGGGGGATATGTACTGTACTAGACTAGGAATACAGCAGTCAGCAAGGCAGAAAATCGCCTGTTCTCATGGTATCACGATGTAATGCTTGGAAAGGACAGTAAGCCACTAGTAAAACAAGCAGATTCAGATGGTGAGTAAGTGCTGTGAAAATTAAGGGATTTGGCTCTGTCCTGGGGGCCAAGCAGCTGCTTTAGCTACATTATGCATTAGAAAATTATTTGAGCAAAGTTTTGAGTGAAATGAAGGGGCCAGCTGCACAGCGCTCATAGCAAGCAACAAGTGTGAGAAGTCCTGTGGCAGAGCCAGTTTTGATGTGTTCAGAAACAAGGCTCAACCGGAAGACAGCGCCCTGTCAGGGAAGGAGAGGCTCAGCCACATGATGGCAGCAGGCCGGGGAAGGAGAGTAGAGACTTCATGTGTCCACATTGCACTGCTGAGTTCATGCTGACCACCAGCCACCAGTTGGGGGGACTGAACTAAATCCTTCCCTACTAGTCCAGGTTGCCCAAAAGCAAAGAAATTGGATAAATTTAGTAGCATTTTATAGACATGAAGGGATATTCTTTATGCATCTGCTCCTTTAGGAATTCCTAGTTCATCAATGCATAATTTTTTCTCTTCACAAAATTGTAGGTCATGCAAAAGCAGTTTCACTCGGAAGTAGGTTAAGCGAATGTCAGCCCCATATGATGGTAGAATACATTTCAAAGCTCAGTCATGAACGCAGTAACAAAACAGTTGGGTTTTGATAAGTAAATGGAGCGGAGTAAAATCTCAAATCCACTATAAAATAATTGGAATTTAGCTTATGATAAGGTGACATTTCATATACTGGTAGATCATGGATAGATAAAATCACAGAAAAATGTAATTCAGAATGTTAGTGCATGCAGAGGATGCTGGCATCCTAACTCACTCTCATTGTCAGTAAATTCTAAGTATTTCATAAAGTTATATGTAAAGGAGGAAGCTGTGAGTGCATAGAGAAAGACTGGGGAAACTCTTGCAGAACAGCAGGGTGGTAGGACTTCTTCCGAAGCAGATTACAAAGCGCAGAAGCTGGGCCTGGCAAGGCAGCTTAGTTGGTAAAGTGCTGCAGAACACGCACAAGAACCTGAGTCCCGGCACCACCTTAAAGCCCAGGTGTTGTGGAACATTTGTGTGCCATATGAAGGTGTGTTGCTGCAATTGGTATAATAAAAAGCTGAATGGCCAAAGCTAGGCAGGAGGTATAGGTGGGTCTTCCAGGCAGAGGGAGAACCTGGGAAAGAAGGAAGGCAGGGTTATGAGCTAGATGTCGAGAAGCAGGACGAGCATACAGAGTAAAGGTAACTGAACCACATAAAAGAATGTAGATTAAAAGAGACGGGTTGATTCAAGTTATAAGAACTAGTTAGGAACAAGCCTAAGCTAAGGCTGAGCTTTCATAATTAATAATGTCTCTGTGACATTTTTTTGTGAGCTGGCTGCCCAAAAAGAAAGACTGCAGGCACCTTGGGAGTCTGCGCTCATCTGCAACACACACACAAGACCCAGAAGCCATACATTAATAGTGTTGAAGATAAAATGGTCCTTTGTTAGCTGGTATGTATTTTGAAAGCTTGGTCAGAAAATTCAAATAGTATTTTAAAAAAAAGTAAGTGAGCGTGCCTTTATTTCTCACTTTTAGAGCTTCTTGTACCTATTTCCACATTGTAGACGTATTTCCACATCATTTGCTTGTGGCGTTCTCTGTCAAATATGAGCAGGAAGCTTATGCTATATAACATTTGAAATCTTTCCAAGTATTATGTACAGGTTCCTGCTATTTTCTTGTCATTTTCTACATGGCCTATGTAATATTTTAATTAATTACAGGCAGGCTATAATTTAATGTAATCTTTGCCTTATTGGTAAACATTTGAGTTTTAAAGCCTCATATTTTCAACTGGTGTCAGTACTTGAACTTTGTGACTGTTACATCTTCTAGACAACCCATCCCTTTAATAAGAATATCATATAAATTGCTACCTCTGTGATTTTGCCTTGGAATTTTCTGATTGCTAGCACTGTTGCTCTGCTTGCCTCTACAGATCATGTGTTTTGTTATTTTCATGCCTAGCATTTAACTGTGGGTGTGCTTCTTGTAAGCATGTAGCTGGTCTCATGGCTCCCCTCAGCCTGACTCTGATGCATTTGTATGTATTGTAGTAATTAAATGCACTGAGTATCCTGTCTTCTGTATTTCTCCCATCATGCGTTCTCCTGTGTCTCTCCTTGTTTTCCCGTCACACCCTTATTTAATCATCAGCTCTGTCCTCCAGAAAAGGGCTAGAGACTTAGCGCTTTCCCCGCTTTCCCAGCTGGCTTCTCTTTAGCTCTGTTTTCCTTCATGGAGAGATGAGCGTGCATGCACACATACATGCATACATACATACAGTAGCATTATTTATATATAAATATACTTATATTTATATATTCATTTTAATAACATTGATAAGCATTTGTTTAATGTTACTTTTTGTTTCTGTACTCCCTACTGTTTCTGTAGTGCATATTATTGTATAGGTTTTGCTGAAGTTTTACATGTCTGGAGATGTTTTTGGTTTGTCTTCCTATTGAATGCTGCATTCAGAGCATTTGACTCTGCACTCAGGGCATTTTCTTTACACCTTCAAGGTTAGTCGCCTGTGCTCTGACATCTCCTGTTTGCAGGTGATGTCTAATGCCAGGCTGATTTGGCTTGTCTTATCTCTAAATACTGAGTTTGAGTTTACTCCTTTGAAAGCCGTTGTCTTTTCTCAAATAGATATTCTGAAGTGTCCTGTTTATATGTCAGATGTGAATCTAGCTTCATGGTCTCATTCTGCATTCAGTAGTTTCTCTTGGGAACTTGGTTTTCCTCAGCTCTGAGAAACTATCTTTGCCATCTTACTATGATGGCAATGGTTTTATTTATTTCTTCATTTCCCCTAGAATGCCAGTTGTATGGACTGAATAATAACAATCATATTAGTATTTTAAGCAAAATGTGATAGTATCTGTGAAGTGAATGACTGCCATGTGTGGTTTATGTAGCAGAGGACTCAGTGCATAGTTAAGTCATGTTTCCTTGCTTTTCTGCCTCACTTTCTCATTTTTTATCATGATTTTTCCTAACTGCAGTAGTGGGCCCACTGACTCTTCAGGCCAGAACCACCAGGGAGCTGCCTTGCTCACTGGTGAGAAGCTGGGCAAAAAGAAGACCAAAGCAGATGTCACCCTCACACCGAACCCACTGGACCAGACTTGCATCCATCCGGAATCCTATGACATAGCAGTCAGGTGAGCCGGAGGCCAGCTCCAGAACTCTGCGTGTTCACAATGAGCTCTGCACAGCACATAGCCTTTGGACGGGCATAATGGGAGCTGAGATGCAAGGTCGTCCTAAACATGATAGCAGTTTTCAGAAGTTCCTGAGTTTCTGAGTTGACCACACATTATTTTATTGCTCTTTCTAAAACTGTGTCAGCCAATAAGCCCAGGTTCTAGGGAGAAGTGTATGAAGTGAAAATTGCATGGCATTCTCTGTTTGCTTTGGAAACTGGCATGACTGCATTGACTAGTACCTGGTCTAACTGGTGCCCTTTGAAAGACAAAGCCAACAGCCAGCTCTCCCAAGAAATTCTGTTCTGTTGGGTTATCAGAGTCTAATGTACTTTTAGTAGGGGCATATTAACAGAGTACAATGCTGAGATTATTTTCAGTACAAGAGAAGCTTAATATAAAGTGTTCAAAGAAAATGACTTTAAGATTTTTTTATTATATTTATCTGTTTGTGTGTACATATATGGAGCGGGGTCGGAGACCAACTGGCAAGAAGAGTCAGCTCCCTCCCCTTCAGCCACGTGGTCCTGAGACTAGGACAGTCATCAGACTTGACAGCAAGACTCACTCACTGACCCATTTAACCCCAAAACAGCTTTTTAGTTGCATTTATAATTACCTTTAAAACTTTCAGTTAGTTTGAAACTTATGAGTTGATACATAACCAGAAATCCTAAGATTCTGACTAGATTGTACAGTAGTGGATTTAGGACCAGTTTGTTTTAACCCTGATGCTAAAGTATGGGATCTATAGATTGCTTTGAAACCGTTTGTATTTGCTCACTTTGGGGAATGTCATTGACTGGCTTTCTTCAACAGTGTTTGTTATTATAAAGGTAGAGGAATAACTCAGAAAAGGAGACCTAGTCCACCATCACCACGGCAGTCTGCCCTCCCCTGTGTTTGATTTTGAGAATTATTGACGCATGCAGAGTATTCCATTACACCTGCATCTAATATTAGCATATCACTGCACCTGCCTTTCTATACATCTATCCATATCTATCCATCTACTTATCATCAAACTTATTTAGCTGCTGAAATAAGAACATTGTAGACATCAGTGTATTTTTCCCTATTCTTCATGCATAACACAATAATTCTTTAGTTTTTTTCTCTTGTAAAATTAACAAAGTTTTTAGTGTACATTTGGAAAATACATATATCAATGTAACCCAAAACTCTTTCAGAATTAAAAAATAACAAAACCAAAAACTATTGCTTTCATCACCAAACATCCCTCCTGCTGAAACCTCCCAGGAGTTTGGCAAAAGTTAGCTCATTGCTCTTAGAACTTCTTAGAAACAGTCCAACTCCACACAGATGTGCTCAGCGAGTGTCCCAGACTCTGCCACACAGATGTGCTCAGCGAGTGTCCCAGACTCTGCCACACAGATGTGTTCAGCGCATGACCCAGACACTGCCACACAGATGTGCTCAGCGAGTGTCCCAGACTCTGCCACACAGATGTGTTCAGCGCATGACCCAGACACTGCCACACAGATGTGCTTAGCGCGTGTCCCAGACTCTGCCACACAGATGTGCTCAGCGTGTGTTCCAGACTCTGCCACACAGATGTTCTTGTCCCAGACTCTGCCACACAGATGTGCTCAGCGAGTGTCCCAGACTCTGCCACACAGATGTGCTCAGCGCGTGTCCCAGACTCTGCCACACAGATGTGCTCAGCGCGTGTCCCAGACTCTGCCACATAGATGTGCTCAGCGAGTGTCCTGGACTCTGCCACACAGGTGTGCTCAGCGAGTGTCCCAGACTCTGCCACACAGATGTGCTCAGTGAGTGTCCCAGACTCTGCCACACAAATGTGCTCATCGGCGTGTCTTACCAGTGTAATACTCAAAAGTTTATTCCCTTTGTAACCAACACCAGTAACTTGTTTCTTTTATTTTCTTTTTGCTAGGTAATATTCCATTGTATAAATACACTATAGTCCTATCTATTATGCTTAAGGAATTACGAGCTATAGGAAAAAATTAATCTGCTTTACTATTTTTTACTCTCCGTACAAACTTTGGGCCAGTTTGCTGTGAATTAGGGTTCCCCATCTTATGTTAGACCCTGTTTTTGATGTTAATACTGCAAAACAAGCCAGTAAATTGAGATCTCTATGATAGTCTCTTTGGCTTTGGTTGACTTGCCAGCTCACAGAACTTAGGGGAAAATATTTAAGTGCACCCTCTTGTTGTGAGTAGAGATGCACAGCTGTGTGTGGAGTGAGTTCCTGGGTGAGGTATGACGTAAGGGCTACGACTGAAGCGTCTGCATCTTCTGCCTCTGCCCATGTCCAGCCTTCTAGAACTTAGACCTCATTCTTCTGGGTTGTTTTCTTTAGGCATGAATGATTTCATCATTGGTGGTCAACTCAGAGTACAGCCTCTCCTGTCCCTGGAGATGTGGGACTGAAAGTTTTCTAGTACCGTGGTTTTAAAGAGTAAAGCCACCTCCCCCACCCCCCCACACATGCATGCATGCAGGCACATATGTACACTCAACTATTCCTTTACCCAGATCTCCATGGAGAATCAAATGCCTGTATAAATATGGCTTCATTTTTAACTCTGAATTGTTAAATTAGTCTGTTTAGAATTGCTGTGGGTTTTGTTATGGTGGTTTTGTGTTTACCATGTTGGAGAACCCAGGGCCTTACACATGCTAGGTATGTGCTCTACTACTGAACTTGACTAGTCCTTACTGATGGCTCAGCCTAGTGCTGTTGCCACACGGCCCTGATTACTGTTGAACTCAAGTTCTCAGTTAGCAAGTAAGTCCAAACGAAATCTGCATTGGGTGTTCCAGATTATTTGTATTTTCCTATGATTTTTAGAACCAATTTGTTAATTTCTGTTAAACAATAATAGGGGTCAGGCGGGCACACCTTACATCCCAGCGCACAAAAGACAGGGAGGTGAATCTCTGTGAGAATTCAAGGCCAGCCTGGATTATATATGGAGTTCCAGGCTAGCCAGGGCTACTTAGTGACTGCGACAAACGTGGAAGTTAACTAATTCTTTCTGTTTATTTAGTTTTTCTTTTGTTTTCCTAAGCAAAGCTTAGTTTCCTGTATACAATTGTTACTTGTGTTGCACTACTGTGTAGTGTTTTCAGTGATGTTATAGAAGCAGTTTCTAGATTATGGCTTCTCTTTCCCAGTGTGTTAAGCTTCAGTTGATCTTTGTGCTGTGCTCTCTCCTGCAGACCTGCCACAGGTGTGTATGTTTTTGTAGAATTCATAAATTTAGGTCATCAGCAAATAGATTAAAATTTTACCTCTTCCATTTTAATCTTCATGTTTTTAGTTCTTTTTCTTACCTCTTGCAATGATCAGAAGCTTCAGTATAATGCACAGGAGTAGCATGAGGGACTGTCTTAGGGTTCTGTTGCTATAAAGAGATAACCTGTCCATGGCAACTCTTATAAAGGAAAACATTTAACTGGGGAGACTTCCAGTTCAGAGGTTTAGTTCATTGTCATTATGGTGAACATGGTGGCCTGCAGGCAACATGGTGCTAGAGAAGGAGCTGAGAATTTTGCATCTCTGATCTGAAGGCAGCAGGAAGTGAACTGAGTGTCACCTTGAGTGTAGCTTGACCAGAAGAAACCTCAGAGCCCACCCTGTCAGTGACGCACTTCTTCTAACAAGGCCACACCTACTCCCACAATGCCACACCTCATAATAGTAACACTCCCAGTGAGTTTATGGGTGCCAGTTATATCCAGACTGCCACATTCCACTCCTTGGCCCCCATACACTTATAACAATATCATAACACAATTTGCATTTAGTACAACTTGAAACGTTCCCATACTCTATCACAGTCTCAATGATGTTTAAAAGTTCAAAATCTTTTCTGAGATCCATGCAATCTCTTAACTGTATCCCCTATAAAATCAAAATCAAAAAACAGATAACTTCATGGGAACCTGATTAGCATGCTGTATTGTATTAGCCAGTCGTTTTCTATGTACATTTTTGTTTCTTGAATCCATTTGTAATATGGTTTATAAGATTTTTCGATTTGCTTCTATTGTAAGCATATATCCCTCTTATTTAAGATCTAGATCTTTTTATTGGGTGACTGTAATTTAGTAATAATAGTTTTAGCAATGGTTCCTTGTGGTGGATCCCTAGAAATAGTACTGCCTTGCCAATGGTTCAAGAGCTTCGGTGGCTCTTTACATTGCCAAATAACGTACTAGCTTGTGATGCTCTCAGCAGGATTCAAGCCAGAGCAGCCTTCATTTCCCCTGGGAGGTAGGCATTTCTGCCAGCTCTCACGGGGATCAGTCTCCACCTGTGGAATATCAGTGCACAACTGGTGACTTCACTTCTCTCCGTGCTTCCTTTGGGGTGACCTATTTGCCCAGAAACAAGACAGCTGTTCACTGTTTCATAGGAAATTTCTTTTACATGCAGTTCCCCCCCCCCACACACACACCTCAGAAATTTGGAGATGAAATGGGTAATTACCTAATCACCCTTGGTGTCTTGTCCAGTGCTGAGCTGTAGAAGTCATATCTGACTTCCACACGCTTCATCTCGCTGACACTCAACACAGATAGTCTTACTCACAGTGGTGTCCTAGAGTCTTAGCCATTGAACCATCTCTTAGCCTCCCAAATGCTTTGATCCATGCTTGATTGAATCTTGGCTGGCAGTACCTTCAGATTCAGAGACCTAACTACACCATTATTACCGTATTTGTGTGATTCTTTCTTGTTTGTCTGTGTTCTTTGTATACTGAAGTCTGTCATTGAGCTCAAGACTTTAGTCTGCGTTGTTTACCTTTGTATTTGCTCATAGTGTTGGCTTGAAATAGGAATGTTTAATATTGATGAACTAAATTTTTTCTTCCTTTTATGTAAGTTGGCCCATCTTTTAATATGCTCATTTCAAGGAAGCCTAGTATTTCCCTAATTTTTTAAAATTCCTTATGGTTCCA